AGACACCGTACCAGGAGGGTTCTAAGGCTCAGGGTGGGAGGAGCCCAGCCGCCCTGATGACACGTCCTGCTTTCTTTAGATGAAGACCTGATCCGGCAGATCCTGGCTGAAGGGGTCAGCAGCCTGGCCCCCACCCAGGACACTCAAGTAGAAACGGATCTGCTCACCGGCCTGTGAGTGCCCAGCTCCTGGGGGGGTGGAGGCATGTGTAGGGGACCCAGGCCAAGAAGCCCTGCTTCCTGCATGGGACTGGCCTCATGTTGTCCGGCCCCGTGGCCCCATGTGGAGCCGGGTAACGTTGTTTGACCTCTGAGTCCATCATTGGTTGAAAGGACTTCCTGGGGTCAGCCGTGGCCCAGCGAATGTTCCCTTTAGTATAGCAGGAGGAGGGACATTTGAGGAACAGATAGGGTGGCTGTGATAAGAATCGTTGTCAGGTTTTTAAATGCCCCATTTTTTTCTTTTGAGACGACTTGTTTCCAATTTCGTAACAAGATTCACTAGGAACTCCCTGCTACTTTTTGTTGTTGTCGTTAACCCTTACCCAAGGATATCTTTTTCATTGCTTTTTAGAGAGAGTGGAAGGGAAGAGGGAGGAAAGGAAAGAGAAACATTGATGTGATAGAGACACACCAATTGGTTGCCTCCTGCACATGGCCCGACCAGGGCTGGGGATCGAACCTGCAAACCAGATACGTGCCCTTGACTGGGAACCGAACCCAGGTTCCTTGAGGGCGCAGGCTGGTGCCCTAACCAGAGAAACACTGGTCAGGCACTTTGCTTATTCTCTCGTATTTATTTTACTATCTATATTTATATTCCTTTAACTCTTTTAATTTCAAGCAACCAAAACTTACTGAAATACACAAATTGTCCCAGAACACAGAGAAAAAAGGAAAGTTTCTCCAATCATTTTATGAAGACAGATAACCATGACATGATGGCATTTTTATGAAGAAATGCCAGTTGATTAAAAACTGTAACATAGGGAGATTCTAGGGTAGAAATTATAAGCTGACCACCCCAAACACCCGAATACCTGCAGCAGCTCACCCCCTGCGGATCCCTGTTCAGACACCGACTGCCCACAGCTTCTTGTGGATAGCTAGTGTGCAGCACAGACTTAACAACATGCACTGAGCAATTATTTCCCCCCTGAGACATTGCCACCCCAGCCAAAAACTGTAGCTTCATCCTTGACTCCTTTCTGCATCCTTCCTCACACAAGTCTTCTCTCCATCTGCCCGTGCCCCTTCCATCCAGGCGTCATCTTCTGCCTGGTCCATTCCAGGGCCACCTTACAGAGTGCTCCATCGGCAGCAGAGAGAGTCTGCTCCGTGAGGCAGGCCCTGTCACAGCCTTCCTCGGGCACTGGCTAGCTATGGCTGCATAAGGGGTTGCCCCAAAATTCCGGGCTTAAAACAGCTCAGATGACAGACATCTTGGTGCTGGCTGTTGGTGGGAGGCCTCAGCTTCTCCGTCTGGACCACACCATTGAGCTGCTCAGGCGTCCTCACAACGTGGCAGCCAGTGCCCCAGAGTGGATGGTCAGCTCCCCCGATGGTCAGCCTCGTTAGTCACACACTGTCATTCCACAAGGTCCTCTTGGTTTCTCCCTGGGAGGAAACTACGTAGGGGTGTCATGCCAGGAGGGAAATCTCATCGGGGCAACTTGGAGGTGCCCACCAGGACTGGGTGCACTCCGTACATGCCTCACAGCCGTACCCAGCCAGGCTCCACACCTTCCCAAGTCCTTTCCTGCCACCTTCCCTCTGTTACCCACTTCCTTTCGGCTACAACATCCCTCACTCTTCCGCCTCCATCTTTTGTTTCTGCTGCTCCCTGTGCCTAGCCTGCTCCTCCCCAAGACAAGAGCTTCATGGTCTACTTCCTTCAGGTCTTCACTCAAAGCTGCCTAACCAGAACCTTCCTTCCTGCCTTAAGCAAAGGCAGTAAGGTGCAATAACATGGACCCATGCACGTGTGCACACACACACACACACACACACACACAGGTAGGCCTCGGCCCCTCCCCTGCTTCCCATACAGTGAGCAGTGTTCATGCTTAATGTTTGCTTCCCCCACTACTATGTGCACGTTGTAAGCTTATGCACTTTGTTCTTTTCACTCAGTGCTCAGAATAGTGCCTGTATTTCTAGGGGATCAACACACTTGTTGGGTGGCTGAAGGAATCGGTGAATGATACCCAACAGCAAACATAGTCTTTGCTGTCATGCGGCTTAGAGTTGAATGTAAATTTGTGTGTATGCTATACTGTATCCACTATATGATTTGATACATGTTTATACACACATGTGAAATATAAACATGAACATATAGAAAAGGGATTAGGAAAAACTATAACAATACTGCTCTTGTCATGATGGAAATGCGGGTATTAAGTATCTGTTCTCTCTCTTTCGAAATTCAAATGTTTAATGAACTGTGCAGGGCTGGGGTGGGGTAAATTTGCCACATGTTGGGGACACCACAGCGGGGCCCATGGCGGTGGCTGGACTCGCTGCCTTTGTGTGTGTGTGTGGGGGGTGTGTGTGTGGGTGTGTGTGCGCGCACGCTGAGATCACTGTAGAACTGTACAAACAGCTTTCTAAGTGGCTGGAGTGGTGGCCTCGGAGCCTTCTCGGTGTCCGTCATTGAGAGGTGACTCAGAAGCTGTCAGCGTTCACCATCTTCATGGGCTTGTTTTCTTCCAAAGCAGGAGCTCTACCTGGACACACAGGTCTCTGTACATGATCTCCACAGTGTGGCACAGTGTCTGAGTTCTGTTTCCAAATGGCTGTTCTTGACCCTTTTCTGGGTGAACTCTTGGAACCTTTCCTGAGTGATCTTGTAATTATAAAGCTGACCCATCCGCTCCTCCAGTGGCTCTGTCAGGTCCAAAACCTTGATCATGAGGCTGTGCCTGAAGGTGGTCGTGAGTGCACGGTCCCGCCTGCTCTGGTTGATGGTTGCGATCAGCTCCTGGGCTCCCTCCTTCAGGATCTTGATGCTGAAGCCCAGAGAGGAAAAGTCGGGTCCTGACTTCCCATCCATCACCATCAGCTGGCGACCGGCCCTGGAGGCGGCAATGGGAGGGCTAGAAACCCAGCTTCTGGCTGCCCCACCAGCTTCTTCTTGGCGGCCTCCTTGTCCTGCTGCTGCTCCTTGCTCTCCTCCAACGGCTGTGGCTCCTGGTCCTCACACTTCATGTGGGACATGTCTGCTCCCTGTCTCTCCACCTTGTCTTTTCTGTTCTCTATTTATTAACCTACTTTCTACAAATAGTTGATGCTACTTTTATAACCAGAAAAGTCAGTTTCAAGGAGAATTTGGCACTGCTATCCTCTGTGATCTCCCACTCCCCTGGACAATGTTGCCTTTGATCCTCTAGGACCGTGGTCGGCAAACTGCGGCTCACGAGCCACATGCGGCTCTTTGGCCCCTTGAGTGTGGCTCTTCCTAAGCCTTAGAAGTACCCTAATTAAGTTAATAACAATGTACCTACCTATATAGTGTAAGTTTAAAAAATTTGGCTCTCAAAAGAAATTTCAATCGTCGTACAGTTGATACTTGGCTCTGTTGACTATTGAGTTTGCCGACCGCTGGGCTAGGAGATGCATAAACTAGAAATATTCAGGGTAACTCAGTGGCAGGCAGGTTCTGAGACTGTGGGGCCTGTTCTCTTCTGTTTCTGTAATCAGGGCACAGCTGTGCAGACATCACCCTAAGTGTGTGCACTGCCTGCTCGGTAAGTGCCTGCCCCGGGCCTGCTTCCCTTTCCTCGCTTTCTTCTTTCTCCCCATTTCCTCACATTCTCTCTCCAGGGTAGCAGCTCTGGCGCTGGGAAGGCCAGTGGCACCATGAGAGACACGCAGTGTGTGGGTCCCATGGAGTGCTGTGTACTATTGGAATTTGTAAAACATACATCCTCGTTCAAAAGTTAGTCTTAGGTTACAAAGGTGCACGAGCACAGGGCGCTCTGTGCACCGTGTGCGGCGGGAGGCTGAGGAGGAAGGCCCAAGGCATGGGCAGTGCCCGCTGGAAGCCAGTCGTAGTTTGCTGGTGTGAAGAGCGGGCAGGGGACGCTGCTGTAGTCCTGCTGTAAAGGCGATGGCTGCTGGAGTGGTGGCAGGACAGGAGAGAGGTGGCACAGGTCACAGAGAGTTATGGGGCAAGATCGACAAGTAAGCAGGAAGTGAGGGGGTGAGACAGGCTGCCAGGACAAGGAACGGCCTCAGAGGAGGTGGGCAGTGTGTGGGCTGCCAGGTGAGCGTCCGCTGCCCCCCTCCTGTGCCTCAGGCCCAGCGCTCCCGGGGAGAAGACGGAGATGCTGATGCTGCGGAGACGGGGGGACAGCGGCCTCCCCAGCCCAGGCCCGATGTGGGAGCAGCCCCCGTCAGCAAAGCTCGCCAGGACAGGTGCGCTCTGTGTCCCCAGGATGCCCCTCCCGCCCTCCCTCTGGGCCCCCGGTCACCCACCTGTCTTTGCCTCCCCAGGGCTGGTGGAGGGCCTGCGGAAGCGACTGCTGCCGGCCTGGTGTGCGCCCCTGGCCCACGGGCTCAGCCTGCTGCTGGCGGCTGCGGCCGTGGGCGTCTCGGGGTGGGTGGGCGCCGGCTTCCCCCCGGGCGTGAGTGTCATGTGGCTCCTCGCAAGCAGCTCCAGCTTCCTGGCCTCGTTCCTCGGCTGGGAGCCGCTCAAGGTGAGTGGGATGCGGGGCCAGGCTGCCAGCCCCTGGCACGCGCGGGCCTCTCTGATGCCACCCCTGGCTCAGGTTCTGCTGGAAGCCCTGTACTTCTCCCTGGTGGCCAAGCGGCTGCACCCTGACGAGGATGACACCCTGGTGGAGAGCCCGGCGGTGACACCTGTGAGCGAGCGTGTGCCCCGTGTGCGGCCCCCACACGGCTTTGCGCTCTTTCTGGCAAAGGAGGAAGCCCGAAAAGTCAAGAGGCTGCACAAAATGCTGCGGGTGAGTCAGGCTGTCGTGGCCAGTGCCTGCCCACCCTCTATACCTCTTGGCCAGTGCAGCCTCTTCTCAAAAACCTCACGTGGACCCCTTCCTCTAGAAGGCCCTAGGGCTCTGCAGCCTGGGTCCATCTCCCTCCCTTCACCCCAACTCCTGGTGCCCCTAGTCCTTGCTCTGCCCCTTGTACCCACCTCCAGTGCCTGCTTCTGCCTGTTCTGGCAGGGCCCTAGGTGTGGCTTCCCTGGCCTTCCGTGGATCACGTGTCTGCCCCCAGGTGGGGTGTCTGTGCTGCCCTTCTCAGTGCTGGGCGCCCTGGCCGTGGGCAGTTGGCTGCCCAGAACCTCGCCCTGTTACGGCAGCTGGGCTGGGATTGGCTGACACGAGGCTGTCCCTGTCCCCCAGAGCCTCCTGGTGTACATGCTCTTCCTGCTGGTGACACTGCTGGCCAACTATGGGGACGCCTCGTGCCACAGCCACGCCTACCGCCTGCAAAGTGCCATCAGGCAGGAGCTAGATAGCCAGGCCTTCCTGGCCATCACCCGGTACGGACACCCTGGACGCATGTACACATCTGTTTGCTGGGCCAGGGTGGTGCTGATGCCAACCAGGGTTCACCTTGATCCTGCCCTTGGTCAAGCTCAGCCCCCAAGGGACATTGGGAAGGGGCTTGACACATTTTTGGTTCTCAGGACTGGAGTGGGTGCTGCTGGCAATGGGTAGTGACCAGAGATACTGCTGAACATGCTACGGCACCCAGGACAGCCCATGAGAGTTATCTGTCCCCAAACGACAATAGGCCAAGGTTATGCCTCATCCCCTCTGGCGCACTGACAGCCTCTCTGGGCTGGGCCAGGCTTGAAGTAGTTGTGCTCCCTGGACCTCTCACCCCTGGCAGCACGGGGAGCTGAGGGGCGGAGCATGTGACTTGTTTCTGGTGTGGGCAGGTCTGATGAGTTCTGGCCGTGGATGTCCCATGTGCTGCTCCCCTACGTCCATGGGAACCAGTCCAGCCCAGAGCTGGGGCCCCCACGGTTGCGGCAGGTGCGGCTGAAGGAAGGTGAGCTGGGGGTCACTCTGGCACTTGTCCCTGCTCGTTTCCAAAGAGAAGCCTTTGGCAGGGTTTTGATTCAACTCCCTGGCTGTGTGACTTTACCTCTCCCTGATTCGTTTTCCTTATCCGTCAGTGAGACCAGGACATCTATCTTCAGGTTACTGGGAGGGTTTCAGGGGAGAGCGTGTGGAGCTGGTCAACAGTAAGCTATCCTGTTTGGGTCATGCTCAGTCCCCGCCCTCTGATTTCAGCTCTCTGCCCAGACCGGCCAGACTCGGGGGCGCACACGTGCTCAGCAGCTTCAGGTGGCTTCAGCACCAGCGACTATGGCATTGGCTGGGGGAGTGCTGCCCATAACGGCTCTGAGATGTGGGCCTACTCTGCGCCAGACGCGCTGGGGTGAGCACAGGAGAGACCAGGGTGTTCTCCAGAGGAGCCCCTCATCCCAGCCAGCATGGCTCCCAGGTTGCCGCAGGGCCGGGCTGTCTCACACTGCCCCTCACTTGCAGCGTCTGGTACTGGGGCTACTGCTCTGTGTACGACAGCGGGGGCTACGTGCAGGAGCTGGGGCTGAGCCTGGAGGAGAGCCGCCAGCAGCTGGGCTTTCTGCAGCTGCACAACTGGATCGACAACAGGTAGGCGCTCATGAGACAGGCTGCCTCGCTCTGCCGCGGCCCACTCAACCCTGGGTGGTCCCCTCATCAGAGATCCCAGTTTACTCCCACTCCCCAGCTTTGTCGCTCCAGATCAGTCACTGCACTTCCTCCCCAGTCCACACATCCCCCCCACTCCCCCCACAACACCAGAGGCCCTTCCTCTGAGGTTCCTGCCCTCTCACCCCTCCCTTGTCCTGTTCCTCACCCCTGCCGTCTGAGAAGGAGCCGCGCAGTGTTCGTGGAGTTCACACGCTACAGCCCTGCCGTGGGACTGCACGCCGCCGTCACACTGCGCCTCGAGTTCCCCGTGGCGGGACACGCTGTGGCCTCCCTCAGCATCCGTCCGTTTGCGCTGCGGCGCCTGAGCGCAGGCCTCTCATTGCCTCTGCTCACCACGGTAAGCTCCACCCCAGCCCCGCCCCCC